CCCCCCCCCCCCCCCCCGCATTCAATATATAGAAACTGATTGCACTGACTGCTGGATTTTCCTTCAACTGCTTGATGGGATGGGAGCTTCCACGCGCCTGAAGGCAGCGGGCAAGCTGGGAGGTAACAGATGGCTAGCGGCTGGGCTGGTCCTGGCACAGACAGATCATGCAAGAACAGTTTCATATCAGTTTAGGCCAGAACTGTACATAGGTCAGCCAAGGCACATCTGGGAAGCTTGGCTGCTGCTCTTCCAAGACAAAGTGATTCTGGGAGGGGAATTATTTTTTATTTAAAGCTTATTTTAAGTGTTAATTTATTGGTTATTTGTAGGATTTTAAAAACATTTTTTTAAGCCGAGATGCACTGGGTTTTAATATTTTTATTGTATAATTTGGTTCTTGCTGTGAGCTGGCCCGAGGCTTTGTTGCGATGGGGGCAGCATAGAAATGTTTTAAATAAATAAATAAAATTTGGGGGCGGGGAGGGAGGGAATGCTCAAACCTTCCACCACTGCCCTTTACACCAGCCAGGATTCCTGAGCTGCATTTGCCTCTTTGGAAGCAGCTGGGCGTAGGGGGAAGGGCTACCATTTGTGAATGTGAGAAGTGAATGAATGAAGACATAAAATTGATGGACTTTTTGAAATAATGGGGGAAACTGTTTTTGGATTAAAATTTGGAAATGGGAAAATTCCCCTCGACTAAAATAAAATGTATTATGTAAAATTGGCTTTGCTTATAAAATTCTCGTTTAAATTCCTTTTTTTAAATTGGAGCACCATCAGGTGGATGAGCTGCTTAATAGACAGGAGGTCTGTGCTCCATTTCAGCATTTTTGTTGGATGGACCTCTTGCTCACTTACATAGGGGCATGGGTAGGATTGGCCAGGCTTACAGATAAACTCTCTCTCCCCAGCTTGCTCATGGTCGTGTCCCTTTCCACCCTCCCATTCCTCTTCCAACATTGCTCACTGCAGACTCCTCTCCACTCCCTTGATGGTCCCAAGAGAGCAGATCCACAAAAACCTGTGGTTCTGGGAAGCAACTGGATCACTCACTTAAAAGCAAACTGAGTGCATTGCAATCATCCTCTCAATGAACTATGGCATTAAATTTATTATATCAAACATACTCATTTTATGTGCAAAACAAGTTATATATGATACATGTAAGTTCATATTTTATGACTGACCACTAGGAAAGTCTGCAAGTCATCCCTGAATCATTTCAGAAGTTGGAAGAAGCAGCAAAAACTGGAAGCAGAGGAAGGCTTCTGCTCCAGAGGAATTGGTTGGGGTGAAATTTAGAAAAATTGAACTGAAGCAAGAGCTGGTTTAACTGGGGAAGAGTCTCTTGCATATTAGGAATGCTAACCCAAGACGAATAATTCAATAAATTTTAAGCAATCTTGACCTGTTATCTGAAGAATGACATTCCATTCCCTTTTGTAAATAACTTCCATTAATAAATGTCTTAATTTCCAAAACAAATTTGAAAGCTTGTTTCTAGATATAGGGGGTTTTTTATTCTGTTGTTATGGATTAAAGGTTTTACAGCTGAAGCAGCATTCCTTAAAGATGAAGTCTAATTGGAGCTTTATGAAAGACTGTTTCTTAAAAAAGTAAAGAAGCAAAACACAGGTTAGATTGTCATATGTGGAATTAGTGTTCTTACATAATTTTTAGGCATCATTTGGAAAGGCAGCAAAGATGAACACCTTGCCTTAAACAGTCCAGCAGAAAATACTTCATAATACAAAGGTGCTTAATTTTTCAGAAAACAAAACAAAAATGTTCTTTAAAAATGAAGGAAAACATGTTTTGGGGCCTTCACATCTCTAACCATTAAATGAAAATTCTGCTGGTTGCACTTAAATGGTATATTATGTAGGATCTATGAAGGTTTGTTTGCTTATTCACATGTAAGTTAACATGGTTCAAACTGATTTGCTCACAAATATGGCCCCAAACAGTGTTGTTGCATTGCCTGGATGTTCTTCCCTTCATATGCTTTCATTCTTAAAAAAATGCCCCACTGAATGGACCTAGAAATGCATTAGACAAAGACATGTTGGTGAACTCTGTAGGATGCTTTAAATGGTTAACTCAGCTGACTTGTAATGACCCAGGGAAGATACTGTCAACTACCATTCCAAGCAAACCTTATCTATAAAACCCCAAGTTTGTGTGAAGAAGAATGCATTATTTTCAGTAGTAAAGCTCCTCTGTACCTCTTTCCAAGTATAAATGCAAGGGGAGGTATGGACTTGTAGGCAAAGCCCTGGATCTGAAGAGAAGGTTGTTCTGAAGCAATCAAGAAGTAAAGCAGCAAGGTCAAAGAAAGACAAAGCAAAGTTTCAGAAAGAGGATGGACTGAAAGAAAAGGAACCAGGTCCAGATAGGAACCGTTTCTGCCATTGCAACAAACAGATAGCAACAGCTTCGAAGACCCCCAACCATCAACCCCTTCTCTCTTTTGGAAAGTACAAAAACTTCCATATTCCAGAAGCAAGTTGGAGATGGGACCACAGAAGGCTGTGTGCACTGTGCGCTCTCTCCTCGATCCATTTCCACATTACAGACCAGGCTCTATCTCTTTGTTGATCCTGGGAGCTCCCGAGGAATTTATTTCTTGGTGTGCCTTAACATTCTTTGCCAGGGTTTTATGGACTTTAGTTGCATCCCCTTCATATCTAAGAGTGATTTGCTTGGCCTCCTGGGTTCTTACCCTGTTGATTTCTAAGGAGTTTTGTTACCTCTGAGAATATATTTAGTGAAGTTTTGGGGTTCTTATCTTAAGATGGACTGAGAGTGGCTTTCCTGGCCTCAGAGAATCCATACTTAGATGTCCATTTTTTTGCTATGAGGACCTGATGTGATTCTCAGTGTCAGTAAAAAAAGTGTTTTTGTTCAGATTAGTCTCTTGTCATTTGATCTCTGTTTCCTGCTTTGCAAATCATTTAGTAATAGAGTTTCATTTCCTTTCCCTTATGCTTGGTATTTCTTATCACCACTCCTATAAGATCCTGTGAAAACTCAACTAATCAAATGAGATTTTCTGGTAGGGTAAAAAATGCTCATCACAAAGTCAACCCATGATTCTGCAGTCTTCAAATGATAAATGTGCACACATGTGCCAACTCAAAAACGAACTTAAGCTCCTACATTGTTTCTGAATATCTGTTTCCTCCCACAGAAAAAACAATCTAATATACCAAGAGACAGAGAGCAACAATTTCTGTTGGGGTCTTAAGTAACTCTTGGCTTGGTGGTACCATGAGATCTGAAACCAATCCAGATGATTTTAGAATGGCTCAGCTTGAGCAGAATCGGTCCTCTGGAATGGGCCAAAGTTGTGTATACAACGTTTGTACACTGGATTCTGTTCTTCTGTCATTTCAGAGAACCATCTCTCCTCCCCAATTATCGCCACTCCATTTTTCCCACTGCCTCCCCCAGTATGTTTTCCTGGTCTATGCGTACATCACCATTCAGAGTCATGTTCCCCCCGTCTACCCTCCCCGTGACACACACATTCACACTGTTTCATTTTTAAGCCTCAGTCCAAAGATACTAAGAGTAAAAATGCTACTAGGAGATTAATCAAGGATCTCTTGATCTCTAAAGGGCCCCCCCCCCCCCCCGGCCACCTTCATCTTATATGAAACACACCTTTTGCAGTTCCTCTCAGCAATGAGAACATACTGAAAGTGGCATTTCATCTCTGCCGTGAACTCAGTAAGTGATGTTAGGCAAGACCACAATGTTCTCTGCCCCAGGCCTTTCCCCAGCTGTGAGATGTGGTTGCAGAAGACTCCCCTGAGTATCCCCCTGAGTAGGCGGGAGCTACACGGTGTGGCATCACATGTCGCAGTATTCTGACCTGAGACGCGGCAGGCTCAAGTCCCTCCAGGCCACCCCCAGACGTGCCAAAGCGCTCATCAGTCCCCAGGAAATCCTCCAGACTTCCTCTGGTAGGGCCCCCAGGCCTTAAACAGGCAGGGTGGAATTAAACAGAGGCTGTTGTTTCCAGGCATGCAGTAATTTGTGTGAGGGACAGGGAGAAGGCGCTGTTCAGCCATTCAGCTATTGAATTTATGGAAGGCCCAGCAGGAGAGAAAAGGGTGACCCTCTTTGATAAGATGTGAGGGAGATGTTAAATCTCTTGGCTAGGCTGAGTCCAAGTGCTTTGTCATGGCCTGGGGAGAACAGCAGAACCAGGGGACAGGGGGATTACATGATAATGGTGTTGTTGCTCATTAAAACAACCCAGGGTACTGCACTGAAGACTGAAACAACCACAGTGCACACAGGACAGAGAAGGGTCTTCAGACCATGTGCACTGGGGAGGAAGGGAGGAAGGGAGACTTGAGAGTGGTATGAGACTAGAGTTGCTCTTTCTTTGCTCCTATTTTCCTTTGTGTGCTGTTCAGCAGCACACAGAATACATACAGAACACACCATGGAATGTGTGTTTGTGTAGGAACTTGCATACTGGGTATACAGTCAGCATAGACCAAAACTTGGGAAGTTTCCAGTCCCTTATTTATTAGATTTATATCCTACCTTTTTGTCCTCTCTTTTTTTACAAACACAAAGTGGCTTACATCATTCTCCTCCTCCTGCTCTCAGGCTTATCCCCACAACAACCCTGTGAGGTAGGTTGGGCTGAGGGTCTGTGGCTGGCCCAAAGTCACCCAGTTGGCTCCATGGCTGAGCAGGGAGTAGAACCCAGATTGCCTGAGCCTCAGTCCTGTGCTCTTAACCAATCCGCCACGCTGGCTCTCCTTATCTCCACTGCAACTGCTGCCCTCACAGCCAAAGTGTGCAGAAAAACTTCAAATGCATACACACCTGGGGATTTTGGGAGAGTTCCCTGTGTACCCCTCTCTATGTACTCCCAGGTGACAGGTAGTGCAGCACACCTTTGGGATACTCACTGAGGATGTCGACATGCCGCTGGGGGATGCTGTTGATGCAGCTGCAGATGGATTCCTCATCGCAGACATCCAGCTGCTTGATCTCCAGTGTCCTGTTGAGAGCAGGCCCTGCAGCTGCTTCCAGCTTTTCCTTCTTGGCCAAATTCCGCATTGTGGCAATTACTAGAACACAGGGGCTTAGTCACACCAGTCGGAGCTGCCTTGAGGGCCATCCTGAAGTTTACAATCTGCTTTACTTTGTAGCTTGCCCAATTTTCAAGCCCTTGACCAAGGTTACAAGGACTTTTTTAAAAAGGCAAAAACCCTTCCCAAGTGCTCAACATAGAGCAGATTGCCAGCTTTTCAACTGATCCTGCCATTGTGCTTTTTTTAAACTGCAGAATTATCTCCATACTGGGAAAAATTTGCTGATGTGAAGGCGTATCTGAAGGCCTTGTTCTTTTGGTGGTGGAACTGCAACTGTAAACCCAGATTGAACTTTAGTTCTGAAGCTTCTTGAAAGGGTCAAATCACAAGACTGCATGACTGCAAAACTGTGTTTTGAAAAGATGTAGTTGAAACTGGACCACAGCTCAGTAGCTGAGCACCTCCCTTGCATGTGGAAGGTTCCCGGTTCAGCCTACAGCATTTCCTGGTAGGGCAGAAGAACTCCTGCCTAAGAGCTGCTGCCAATCAGAATCTACTGGTGTTGATGGACCAGCAGGTACCATGTCCCTACATCTGAATTTAAAAATTAGAACTGGAACTGATTCTGTTCCGTTAGAAACACCACCATCACTATTGCTATAAACAAATGTAAACCCTGCCACCCTATATTTTGAAGTTAATTGCAAAGCTTGCTGGCAGCTTGTTAGCAAACCCACATTTTGATAACACATTCACTTTATGAAAAGTTCAAAGCTCCTTCCATGCAGGCTGTAAAAAAGCTGCCCAGACTTAGGGATGCACAGGCAACCTTATAGCCTTCCTATATTCCCGAGGATCAACTGTTTCCCTGGCCAACTTGGTGACTATTGTTATACGCAATTCACTGGACTTTCTTACTGGACATGCCCACGCACCACTGACCTCAAGGAAGTCAGAAGTGGCATGAGAGAACCCATACTTGCACACCCCATATTTTCCAGATTACATAGGCCAGTTGGGGGTTTCTTGATCAAGAGGGGAAGCATTGTGTGCACCCCACAATTCCCATTGTTCTCCCCCTTCCAAAAGGGACCTGTTTGTAGGTGCTAACACTGCTAAAGCCAAACCAAACCTATGCACACACAGCTGGAGGAAGTAATCAAGGAGAGAATTCCAAGCTTCTGCCAGCCTTCTGTACTTGCCACAAGCAACCCTTCCACTACAGAAGAAGTTGCATGAGCTATACAAAAAATATACAGGTGGAGGCGGACAAGGGAACAGTGGATGTTTGGAAGGAGGTGTCTGGCATGCACACCTCTCTCACTGTAACCTTGTCCAAGAAGTTTGATGAGCTTTGTATCAAACCAGCAAAGCCAGATGGCTCAGAGGTTGATGGGGGACACAGAAGAAATACATGTGGACACCGCGGCAGTTGAGTCCTTGAACCACTTTCACTTCTGTGAAAACCTATTGCCTTATTACGGAAAGTAGAATAATGTCTTCAGCCTTAAAAAAGATTCTTACCAGATTTGGAAATTAAATTGCTTGATTACACTGTTATTAAAACAAACTGCATTAGATTAAAGGAAGGTAAGTAGCAATTTAAATCTCCCTATTATGCACAGTAATAATTCATCTCTTAAAAAGCAAAACCAAACATAGCTGCACTGATCCCTAAGGGGAAAAAATCTAAATTCCACAGCTGTGCAATACCTATATTAGGACCAAAATATCACAAAAAGTATGCAACAGTTCAGGTGTCCAGAGCTCATCCTCAAGCTAGGACAGCCTTCCTCAACACGGTGCCCTCTAGATGTTTTGGACACCCACTCCCAGCATCCCTGACTATTAGTCGTGCTGGCTCCCTTGATGGACATTAAAGCCCAAAACGTCTGGAGGGCACCAGGATGGAGGAGGCTGGGCTGTGTGATAGAAAAACAAAGTTCAGAACTTCACCCAACACAATCTTAAAAGCCTCACCTTTGAATCTCCTCTGTTTGTCCTGTGCTAGTTTCACAGCCAAAGCCAGCCCGATGCCAGATGAACAACCTGTTATCAGTACAATTTTGTGAGTCATGGTGGCCTGTGTAGAGAGGGGACCGTGACCCCCAGCGAGCAGGTGGTGGATTCTGCGAAATCTTTGAGAAGGCCTTGGGCTTCTGGAAGCTCTGAGTTTTGCCCTCACATTTTCCCCACAGGGTCTGGCTTCAAAAATCTTTTAAAAGGCCAGCTTGAGACCTAATTGGCCAATACCCAAGGTCTTAATCTCCTCACCCTTGCTAAACCCCAAGTGGATTTGCATGACAAATCCTATCTAATCCCTTCCAGACCCAGCCACTTGTGATGTATAAACAAAACCACAAGACTTGGCAGAGTGTATGGGAAAAGGAAATGCTTTCCCCACCCCCTCCCAGGAACACCTTGCAAGGTGCATTATCCAGCATGCTTTGCTTTCTGGGTTTCCATGTTAAATATCCAAGCAGAGATGCCATGAAATCATCTGGCAGATCTCAACTGTCCTGTTGGCTAGAGATTTTGACAGATGCCCTTTGAAACAGCCGCAATGTGAGATCCAAGGCAAACTAATGCCAATAATGGTTACAAAATGGTCGTGTTGTTGGCACCCCTTACTCCTGCCACAAGGGCTGCCCAGGACAGAGAAACATGGAGAGGTATAAAATACACACCTTTACTTATCCATGAGAAGTTTTGTCTTTTAGATAAATATAGAGATAAAATTCCCTTTCTAATTCTTGACAGGTTGACTTTTTTCTTCATGTAATTGGTTGCTGCTGACTTGTTCATCCCTCATGATTAACTTGAGTACATAATCAAAGCAAAGGTATGAAAAAATAAGATTTATTATCATCACGTATATATACAACTCATCACAGTTTATACTGGCCTCATAGATTTGTACAACAACAATGACAGAACTTTCTTGCTTCCATCCTTCTGGGCCATGGGTGGTTTTTGCCCCTTCATACAAAGAGAGAAAACCCACATTTCCAGCCTCAGTTCCTTGCTTGGATGCTTAGATGTAACAGCACCAGTGTGTGTGGGAAGGCACTGGGGCTGAAAACAATGTTCCTTGGGCTTGAGCTCTGCTACATTTCCTTGTGGAGAACCACCCAGAGAGTTCTCAGGCTTACCCCGGCTTCCTGGGTGATTCTCAGGCAGCCCATTAATTTCCCCTGATCTGGTCAAACAGTCTGTCATCCCAATTATTCCTCTTACTGTGGGAAGACTTCAGACCAGTCTCCCGAGCTCCTGTCTGACAGCCGCCCCCCCCCCCACTGCAGCCTGCCACCTATGGGGCAGCATCACTTGACTAAACTCGGGTGCCAGCTACCAGAAAAGAAAGGAAAGCAAAAAAGGGATTCGTTCCTTGTCTACCATAGACAGAAGCCCACATTTTTTTCTTAAAGAGAACTGAAAGCAGCTTGTGGAGAAATCAGTTCCCACGATGTGCATCCCAGATTTATGTTGTCCTAACTTGTCTCTGATCAATCAAGACTTTGAAACAATAAGAACTTGGAAACATGCCAGAAACAACTTCTGAAATATTGGAATTCTGGAATCAGTGTAGAGGGGTGGGTAGGGATTCAGGAATGGAAGCAGCAAAATCTCTTAGAAGCTTGAGATGGGAGCAGACACACAGCTCTGAAGATGGATAAGGTTTCCCTCTTGCTGGGCACAGGAAAAGCTGCAGACCAACGAAGACAGTCCCTCTCCTCTAGGAAGATGCTAGCACAGTTATCTCACATCCATCCTCAACTCTGCTAAGAAATCAAAGTTTCTTCATCGGCAGCTGAATCGACGAATCACACTGGGTCTTTCCTTGGTCACTTGCGGCAAATGCAGTTGCATAGAGTGGTTCAAAGTCTGGAGTTGTTCCAGGAGTACAGAGTTGAAAATGGCCTGTTCCCCAGCTCTCCTCCCCACTGCTGGGCTGAGCCAGCCATAGGGTGAGGTATGGGGCAAACCAGTCAAGGAGACAGCCTGTCACAAGGTCACACCTGTGCAGTAGTGCTTCAGCTTGCAAGGCAGGATGCCACGGTTTATCTGGTGAAACTCCACCAGCTGGATCAGGTCAGCAAAGCGAGTCTGCCCATCGTCCATCGTGTAGTACAGGCGTCCCTCTTCCTCGCTCTGAAACCCAAAAAGGATGGTGAGCCATTTGCAAGGAGACAGGGGTAGGAGAGGACACGGCAGGGCTGGACAACACAGCAATAAGTCATCACTGTAGACCAGAGTCTCAGAACTTGGACTCTAAGGTTATATCCCCGTCCTCTTTACTCCACAAGTAACATCAGAGGCCCAGGTGCCCAAGTTGGCTTGAGTCCTGGCATCAGAAATTAAGCACCAGAAGTGGTGCAGGTCTCTAGTGCAGACTTCCCCATTCTCCAGATGTTTTATACTACATTTCCCATCAGTCCCAGCCAGCACAGCCAATTGTTAGGGACAATGAAAGTAGAGTTGAACTCCAAAGTATCTGGAGGGTGCCAACCTGGGGAAAGCTGCTCTACAGCATTTCTGATTGGCTGACTGTTCAGCTTTCCCACTGCTGACTTCTGCTGGTAGAAAGGGGTACTACAGACCTTTCTTGTCTTTTGTAATGAAGAATTTGGATTTAAGCCTCCTGGGAGCCACACATTGTGATCTGGGATCCCTCTACCTCAAATCCAGGTATTCGTGGGCAAGCTACAGTAAGGGAAATGCACACTAGACACCCCATAAATGCTTCCCACATTTGTGAGGGTGCAGCCCTGGCATAGAAAAGAGGTGCCAAAAATGGGTCGGGATCAAATTAAGCTTTGTTTGTAACTTGGTAACTTCCATTCTACCCAAAGCACTTGAACTGAAACCCTTCTTAGAAATGCTGAGACACTCTCTGCACAGCCGGATTAACCACGGGGCTAAGGGGGCTTTGGCATCCAGCCCAGCATCCCAGGGAGTCCGCTAGTTAGCCCAGATTCCAAGCTTCCAGAGGAGGACACAGCACACCTCTAGCCCTTGCAAGATACGAGGCAAAATAGTCATGCACAGTTCATGGTTTTGTAAGAAACTGGCCATCCCTGTATTGAGCTTTTTTGTGAGGAATAAGCCGGCTGCCATCCTTCATGAAGTGTGTTTTGGCCGTACAGCAAAGTATAGTGCAAAGCTGTTTCAGCAGGAGAGAGTTTCTTGTTCTTGCTAAAGCACCAACTTTCTTTCCATCTACCACTGTGGAATACTGATTACAGCCCATGGAGAGCAATTGGGAAACTCAGAAATTTAGTCCAGCTTGTGAGTGGACAGCAGAATAACCAGCCCCAAACAGTGGGAAGAAGGAATGGCAGGTGTTCCTAATCTTTCTCACTCAGGTCTTATTTCATGCCGCCCCCATTCCCTGTTTTTACTGTGATTGTGACCATTTAAAATGCCATGGTAAACAAAGTGCACCATTAAATCCCCCCCGCCCTCTCTGTAGGCAGCTCTGTGGCTGGCTATGGGTCCCACTGGCAATGCATATGTACATTCCCATCATAGTCCATGCATTGGATAATCCAGGGGCACTCAGACCAGAAACAGAAGCTGCCACAAGCCACCAGATGGAAGCGTGTGGTGGGCATGCAAGAAACAAGAAACATTCTTTTCAAATGCTGAATATTTTATCTGAATTACAAAAGCTGCTGTCGGTGTTCAGGCTGCATCCAAGTGGAGAACTTGACACACCTTTCTGGAAATGCATGCACAAGTACTGTAATTCACAAGTGGCCATTTTACACATGAGACAGGCTTGTTATGAACATAGCATAAGGCAATCATATTTTCTAGTACTTACTTTTTAATATTTAGGTTGTGCTTTTCCTAAAGGCACTAAAGATCTTCCCTTTTACTTTCACAACAATCCTGTAAGGTAGGCTAGCTAGAGAGGTAATGACTGGTCCAGGACAACCTGTGAGAAATGGGAGGCATGTGCTGGCCCTCCTAAGGCAGCCGGCATCCTGGGCCAGCACCAACGGCACATGCAGACACCTTGTTTGGCTGCTGCATCTGAAGGAGGCAGTGAGCAGTTCACACATACATACGCTCCAATGTGTGCCTGTGCTTGTGCGCTGCATGCTGCCAAAGGAGAAGCTTGTGTTTATATTTAGGATCTCTGGCACAAAAGAGATAATGGTCTCTTGCTTCCAGGAATACATGGAAGGCGTTTTCTTCTAAAATATTAGCAAGAAATGTTTTCACATTATTACTGTACATTGCTGATCTGTGTGTGTGTGTGTATTTTGTACATGATTCCCTGATCTGCCTGAGAACAGGGAAACCCACTTCCAGTCACTGTAGGCTGCACAGGGCTTGTGTCTCTGTCTAAGAAAGCCGTGCGTGTTCCTTCGACTACTTACCGGAAGTATAAGGTAGTGCTTCACCTTCTGCAAGTGACAGAGTGACAAGACAAAGCCCTTGGGGTTGCGCTGGCTCTCCCGCACCAGGAACACCCTACAATGGTTAAGACACATGAAAAGGGTCACAGAAGTGCATTGTCACCTCCTCTGCGCACAGGAGGCAGCAGAGTGCCGTCCCAGCACAGCACATGGACTGTCGCATGTGCACGTTTTGGCAAGCTTCAGGAGTGTGCATGAGAGGCTGGCTGTTTTGGCTGGACTGACAGCTCAGAATCTGAGGAGGAGACGTGCAGGGGAGGCTGCCTATTCTGGGGGGACTGACAGCTCCAATTCTGATAACGAGATGCTCGTTGAAATGGACCCAGTTGCAGCTGCAGTCTGAGGTCCTGAGCACCTGCCTGTGCCTGCTATGGGGGAGATCAGTTCAAGGGGGCCAGGCAACCCACTCACAGAAACAAGGAAGAGCAGCAACATTCCAGCAACAAGCAGGAGATTTAAAGATGGGAGTTGGTCGGATGGGGAACTCCTGCCTCCTGAGGAGGTAGACCAGGTAGTCCTTCATCACAGTCACAGGGTGACCCAACTGGGGTCTCCGAGGGAGGTGCGCAGGTGTGCCCAGTTCCACAGCGCTTCTCTCTGATCCCTGAGACAGGCACAGAAGGATTCTTAAGGAAAGCTTTGGGTGAAGAATGCCAGAGAAGGTCCAGCATTTCACTTTGCGTATGCTCAGAGCCCTCTGTGTAAAATAAAGACTTTTGGCAAAAAAGCGCTGATGAGACTACTACTACCTCAAGGGAGAAGCTCAGCTCACAATACTAACCTTTTCAAAAACTGCACAATTTCTAAAACTGCACACAAACACACTTTAGTCAATGAGAAGAAATGTGCCCATTTTAAAAATCCACAAAACTGAGGCATAGAGGTTGGGGAAAATGTGCAAAATAGCATGCACACATTTTCATGCAAAAACAAAATTTGCAATTGGGTTTGGACACAAGCAACAATGAGCTTCAAGGTCAGATTCGAAGAACCTCAAATTGTGTTGGTTCACACATCCCTACTCTGCAACCTAAAACCTTGCTCCACTAACGTGCCAATACTGTATATCCCTCCCTGGGCTAATACCGATGATCTTCACTACCAGCACCGGCAAGTGCCAGCCACCCCCCAGTGCATTTCGTTCAGGGACTGCAGATTATGTTTCTTGGTGTAAACGCTGTACTTCTCATTTCTGTACTATAGGCTCCCTTGCCATTTCTACTCAGGTCCACCCGCCGTGGCCCTGTTGATTTGGGGAGGGTTTTAATCCCTAGGGATCTCTGAGGAGTGAACAACAGCCCTGAGTACAGGTAAGAGATGGCACCTCACTGATTAAGAGGGGTTTTGTACCCACTCGGGGTCTGACTGAGCTGCTTACCTCAGGCATGGGAGCATTTCCACCCCAGCCTGGATGGGCTAGTGACTCTGTGAGGCCCTCTGTTTGCTTGGCTCGTGTGCAGGAGTCATCTGGATCTATTGCCCGGAAATGATGCTCTGGCTTGCATGGACTGATGGGGTGTAGCAATGGGTGAGCTGGTGGATGAATGAATGAATGGTTCTGCCTCTGAGCATGGGAGGGATGAGCCAGATCGCCCTCTGCTCTTTAAGGATCCACTCCTAGGCCAGGACTGAGCCTCAGTATCCAAAATCAGAATTATTTAGTACTTGGAAGGGGTCGTGGTCCTGAAGCTGGGGAGGAAGTTGAATGATTTCGGTTTAACCTGTGGGGCATTATTCTTCACTATAGCGCCTATATTTACCAATGCATAAATAAGGGCATGCAACTGATCAGGTAAACTATTTGCACGCAAACTTGAATTAGTATATTTGTCCCTGATAATAATTACAGTAAAAAAGGTAGGGAATTATATCAGTGAAACTTATAGGCAAGGCAAGATGCCAGCAGCTAGGCAACCTCAATCATTTCCAAGGAAAGCAGATGCATGCCTAAGAGTTTCATACGCAAATAAACTCATAACCATAGTGGCTTAATCTTAGGCATGAACTTCCTTTGAGCATTTCTAGACGAATATTCTTGGGGTGCAGTTGTGTGGAGGGGCAGGGCAAGAAGTCAGCACATCATTGCCAGATCATTAATTTGCTCTCTTCTGGCTTTAGCAGCTGCAACAGAAAACCCACCAAGATGCTGAAAGAAGGACCCACTTCCATCTTCTAGCTCTTCCCAGACCAGATTTAGTTGAGGAGCTGGGAGAGGCAGATGGATGGCACTGCAGGCAGAGGCCCTTGGCTAGAGAGCTTCCTCTGCTTCCCCCTTTACTATGTTTGGAGCTACAGTTGTGGAGAGAAAATGAAGTCATCTTTCACAATCCTGGAATAATCATGCTTTGCGCCACATCCTGGGATGGGTTTCCACCCACTGAAAATGAGCACCGTGATTTTGATCCACCAGAAAAGAAGTCGGATGGCACTCCATCTCCATGCCAGCCTATGCCTCTCACTGGACTTGCTCCCAAGTATGTAAAGACAGAACTGGGCTACCCAAGCATAAAGACCTGGAAAGTGACTGCAAGCAACGTACCCATCCACCAGTCCCTGCTGGATTATAAGGCGCTGGGTGTCTTCTCTAGAAATGTGTCCATGGAACCATGGCTGGGTTCTGTGGATGGCTGAGCAGGAAAAATAAAAGGACACTGAGCCTGATTCAAGTGTTTAGAATGTCCGGCTACAAAAGCATCCCTTAATTTCCATGACAAATGTTGGAAGAAGATCCACTCCCCTTATCCTAGAATTGTGGGGCTAGACAGAATAATTTGTCAGTGGCTGATGGTCAGGAAAGGAACTTGCACATCGTCAGAGGCACTTTGTCACCCCATGAGTACTTCGTACGTTCCAAGATTATGCCTGAGCCCAGCAGGAGCACAGATTAAATGCCTCAATGTGTGCAAGGTGCAGAGGCACCCCCATCCCGGTTTTTGCTTCTCATGTCCCAAGGTCTGCAGTGGGATTCAGCAATGGTGTCAGGATCAAACATCAGCCATAGCCTGGCTTTAAATGAGCCCCACAGGGCTTTGCAGGAAATGCCGCGGTGGGCAGGGTGTCAAAGAACAACCACTGGGCAGACTCCCTGATCCCATCAATGGTGATTGGACATGATGCTCTATTTTCCAGTTAAAAACCCCATTGCTGTGCATTACACAAGTTATCTGTGACAGTCACTCACCAGCACTGAGTGGACAGCTCTGGAAAGGGGTGGGCTGGCTGTATCGGTGAGTTGTCTTCTTCTGAAGCATGGAAAGAGAAATACCCAGGGTTATGTCTGGTATTTTCAGCTTGCTGCATTAATTATGATTTTCCTCCCCTTATAAGACTTTCATGTAATTTAGAAATACATTCATTTGCAGCAAATTCTATCTGTTGCAGCACAACCTGCAACCTTAAAGACAGAGGCTGCAATCCTAAACTGGCTTCCGTAGGGAGAAGGTCCCACTAAACCTAGTGGGGCAGCTTTAGGGTAAATATGCACAGGACTGGGTTGCAGGAGGTTTACTGTGACATCCACTTCATGGACCAAAACTAGTTTCATTGGATGCATTGGACAAAATGGGCTCTTTGGGGGTGGGGGGGAAGCTTGATATCACAATAAATATATTAGTATCCAAGGAGCCACAAAGCTATTTCATATTAATTGTCTGTCTTAGGCTGCCACCTCTACACAAAAAGAAGCAATAACACATTTCAATTGTCTTCTGTTACAAATAATGCAAAAGATAAGATAAGCAACCATACAGCTAAGAGCTGTGCTAACAGAGGGAACACCACTTCTTTGCTTTCCAAACCCTTTTCTGCTCAATGGGAGATAGAGGTTAGCTGAGGACACAGCCAAGGTGGAAGCCAAGAATGCTGGAACTACATTTCCCATCTGTTACCATGAAGGCAGAGGGTCAAAGAACTTAGTTCTTAGGTGAACCAGCAGATCTGCATCTTGGCTGTACCACTCTGGACTGCAGGAGGGAACACATCAAACTAAGAACACACAAGACTTCCATTAAAATTATTTATTTTACACAGAAAACTAACATGCCGAGGAAAAGGTTCTCGTTCAGCCTTCTTCACACTGCTAGTTTTCTGTGTCCACAAACGGCCTGCTGCTTTAAGAAAGTTGGCCTTCCCTGTGACCCTTGGAGTTTTGCAAGGGTCAAACCTGGGTCTAACTGGTGCAGGAATAGATGCCGCCTGATGGTGCATAAACCCTCAGTTGCTCGTTCAAAATGGTCTCCTGATCCTACCCTGGACCAGGCTCCAGCCTACCTGCCACAGAACAACCCAGTGCTCTGATCTAGGCCATACCTTCCTCCTCGGTCCCTGCTCAGTGGGGCAGCCATGGTGGCTACCTCTGCCACACAGTTGGTAGGTACCAAAGACTAGCTCCCTGCATGGGTATAGCACCCAGTATAACAGTTCCGATGCTGCAGTTGGTTTCCTGAAGACATACAACATGGTGCTTCCCATCCCAAAGCATCTTCCCTTCTCTCCATGGCTTCTAATCAAGAGTCAAAGACTCACCCTCCAGGCCTGAGCTTCCTCCAGTGCAACAGTCAATGCCTCGTTGGGGTTCTCAATCACTCGGCCTGTGCAACCTGAGAAGTCCATGGCCACCAGAGTGTTATCGGACACACTGCGCTGTGGAATTTTTAAAAGCGTTCAGTGGCAGACCTCTCCAATAACATACAAGCTGCCCCTAATAACATGCAAATCAGATATCAAATGTCTTAGAACTGGTGTTTGGTCAAATTCTGAAAGCCCAGGAGCAGGACATAACAAAGTTACGAATGCAGATACTATAACCAGCTAAGGCCAAATCAATAGAAGAACAGACACCCACAATTAAAATGTCTATTTCTGGTGGGGAAAAAATTAATCCCTCCAGAAGTGTTCAGATCAGGGCTTTGGTGAGTCCCTAATAGAGGAACATTCCAGAAGTGTGGGGTCATGTCTTGGTGCTATTGGGTTGTTATTGGGTGCTCTTTGTTGATCTAAAGACCATAAAGATCAACAAAGATTGACCAGGAATGCTCTGGAGCTAAGTTGCAGGGTTGCCCTGAGCTGGCCCCACAAATGAGTTTCTAGAAGATGTTCTTTTAGTTGTGACAGTCCAAGAAAGAGGATTTAATCTCACAGGCAAGCATTCTCCATGCAGGGACAGACATGGCATTTCAGGTCTCAGCCAGTTCTGCAGCTGTTGTGTGAAACTGGCTTTTCAGTCTGAAAGATCATAGAATAGTAGAGTTGGGCCACGAAGGCCATCAGGTCCAACCACAGGACACCACGTTACACCATCCCACTCAGATGGCTGTCCAGTTTCTTTTTGAAAGTCTCTAGTGTGGGAGAGCCTACCACCTCGCTAGGCAGCTGGTTCCACTGTCTCATTGCTCTGACAGTGAAGAAGCTTTTCCTGATGTCCAGCCTGAATCTGGGTTGTTGTAACTTGAATGGATTATTCTGTGCCCTACACTCTGGCATCAGCAAGAAGAGAGCTTGACCTTCCTCTTTGTGACAGCCTTTGAGATGGACATCTATGCCAGCAAACTGAATGCTGGCCTGACTGTTAAGTCTTGCTCTTCCCCACTCTTCAAATGAATTCTCAATATTTTATTTTATTTTATTTCAGACAAATGTTTATATGTTCATCCTATATAAAAAGAAAACCCCAAACACAGCTTTCCCAATTCAAGCTGACCCTTTCCAGAAGCTCACCTTGATGAGGAAACTTTCCACTAACAAAGACAAGAGTGAAGGTACTTCTAAACTGACACACACACACACAACAAGGTGCCTGTCTCCACCAACTGATAAGGAAAATCTGAAACATGATCAGAGGAGCTTACCAGGGGTGCAGTGCCAGTCCAGGCTGCTTCCTTCTCCCGTGCCTGACATTGCTGGTAGTTCCTGTAGAGTTGTATGCCATACTGTGGAAATGAGGATTCCTGTTAGATCAGCATGCTGTAACTAACCCCAGTCCACAATTACCAATTCTCCTAGGCAGTGACCTTGATATTTGCTATGCCAAGGATCTAAGGACAGGTCTAATTGTGTTCTTTTTCTTCCTATTTATTTTTCCCTATATTCATTTGGGGCCGGGGGGGGGGGGGCATGAAGATCAACATTTATTTCCAGGAGGTGGGTGAAATAGATGCACCTAACCTGTGAAGATTAGAACCAGGAGTAGAATGGATAAAACTGAACAGAAATGCAGCCAGAGGGTTGCTGCAGAGAGGTGTTAATGTAGCTCCTCCTCTGAAATTCATACATCTAACTTCTTCCTTAGACTACATTTTCCATGAGGCAGCAGTTCTTCCCTACCAACTAGCCACTTTGTATAGTGCAAGGTTCTTCAAAGTTTCTGCCTTACAGAAACCAATGGCAATTGACTTGTCTGTGGAGTGACCTCAGGTATTGGCCACCGAATCCCTGCATGTTGGAAAAGATTTCAGGGCATATTCTAGACTGCACATTAAGTTCATGTGGAGAATTAATTACAGGCCTTTTAGGCCTCATGGTTGCGCTGTACATATTGAGTCCACCTTTGCACCTCTGGCGCTGCATGACAAGAGAAACTATGGTGGAATCTTAATATTATAGGCCTGTGGCATCACTTGGACCTAGTTCCTGAGTGGCAGCATTGGTTTCCTGAAACCACAGGGAAAATCAACAGTTTGTTCAAAGGTTTCCAAGCTTCACTGCAGGTTCTCCAGTCATTTGGACCTGGGACTGCCGTTTTACCATTGTCAGTATGGAAACACCACAGAGTCCACTGTCAAGAGCAGTCACAAAAATGGCCACTTCTAGCCTTTGGTCTCTACTGTCCTCAGCTCCCTAGCAACAGATGTATCATTGCTTGCTTTATTCCCATTGGCCAAGCAATGTGTCCATCTTCCTGTTTACTTTTGGAAACAAGGACACGGTGTGAAAACATATGAAGGGAGAAAGGGGGGATTGCAATGAATACAGTTTATTTTCATTGAGTAATAATCTCTGTGGGGACTGGAAATGCCACAAACATGCAGGTGCACCTGGGAAGGGGAGGCGGGACCTGCCTCTGGACAACAGTGGAGTGATTAGGAGAGGCCGTTATGGTCCACAGGCAAGAATAGGGAAAGGATGTGGATTTTGCTTGCAGGGGCTGCCAGACGTGTGGGGAAGCCAGGAGGGCAGAAGCAACCATGTGATCATCTAACTGGTACGTTTGGGCAAAAAAGTGCATGCTGTGGAAACAGGGTAGAGTTGTTTGCCATGTCATGCGCCCCAGCCTGCAAAGTGAAACCTGAAAGTGGTGACCTGGCTGGTTTTAGAAAACCGTCTTATTGCCGACAAATTCCCAAAGACTTTGAGGAATGCCGCACGTCCTCAGAAATTGCCCCAGAATTGCCTCAATTTGGTCCAGTGCATAGAACTTCCAAATTCCCATTAAGGGTCAAACTAGATAAAAATGGCTCTGCATTTAATGTGCAGGTTTTAAAAAATGCAAATAGCAACTGCTGGGGGACAATGATAATTATCAGGACCGCAGCAGGCAGGGAGTGGGTGCTAACCCTTTCATCTTCTGCTGCAATCTTGGTGATAATTACCTAACTCCAAAGGAAGGCGTGTACCTTAAAGAGACGGAAGGCAGCCATCCAGCATGTGCGACTTTGCTCGTCCTCGCAACAGAAGAGCTTCAAACCTTTTGCCCCACTGCGTGCCTTGCATGGCTGCGAAGCAAAGGGACAGGATCAAAAAGTTTGCATTTGTAATAACAGTTCTGGAAGAAAGCGCCTCCCTGATCAGAATGTTAGCACTCTTTGTGCACAGAGATTTTTAAAATCTGTATTTCACATGGTTTAGGCATAAGACTAAGACTAAGAGAACCACTGTCTATCTTGATCAGCCAGTTCAGGATTCTTCCTAGAAAGTAAAAAAGCAACATGAGTAATTGCTATGAGAAAAAGACTAGTGGCTGAGAGACACTACCCCATTAGGCCAACATTTCTGTATCATCTGCACCAGCTGCCAGTCCATGGCTGGGCCTAATTGGCAGCGCCAGTGCTACCACTCAAAGCCTTGAATGGTTCCGGGGCAGGTTCCCTGGGAAGCTATTCCTTCTCACAAATACCAGTCCAGGCCCTACGATCATCCTCAGGAGTCCTTCTCCAGCAGCCCCTGCCAAAGGAAGTAAGGTAGGTTGCCACTAAAATGAATTTCCCAAATAAGTTCACCTGGCACTTACATCATGCTCTTTTTGGCATCGGGTGAAGAATTCCTTATTTTCCAGAAATTTAGGTTTCAGTCCCTGCCATTTTACATCCTTTCCTGTATTTCATATCTTTGTACTGCTGCTAGATTTTACTTTGGCTTTTGTTTCTGTTACATGCCGTCCAGTCATCTTGGACTTATGATAACCCTATGAACAAATGCATCCCAAATGTCCTGTCCTTTACTACCCTGCTCAGCTCTTGTAAACCGAACTTTGCTTTTACCTTGATTTTACACTGTAGTTTTAAAAATTTACATTTTTATATTGCATTTTAATGTCATACTTTATGCTTTTAACTATTGTGAACCACACAGAGAGCTTTGACTATTAGGCAGCATAGAAATGTAATAAAGAAATACAAAATATTCCAAAATATTCATCCTCAAAAGTTGCATCACTGCAGGATTTAGTATTCTGGCTACACTTCATTCCCAGAATTTTACAGAGAGACCTGCCCCTTCTCTGCATCAGGCTTGACTGAAAAAATCAATCACTCCTAATAAAGAGATACAGGAAGCAGAGAAGCAGAGATGTGGGGTTTGAGTCAGAAGTAATTCTTGGGTTACTGGAGTCAGACTCAAAGCCGGTAAAAATGTACCTATTCTGACTGCTAATAAATTTAAATTGTAATAAAAATAATATGCTAAAACTTCCTATTTCAGAGATAATAATTTGAGTAACCTATTTTTGCAGGTGATATTTTCAGGATATATTTTAATTTCATAAATTAGTTGAAGAGGCACCTCATGAAAAAATGCACAATTGCAAAACATTTCAAGAAAGTTGGCTGTTTTTGAACACTTTACAATAGCAACAGATGGGAAACATTATGTTTGTCGATGTAATATGGAAGATGATGATTATGAAAAGGCATGTGTGGTAAAAACTACTAGTTTTTGTGGTTATGAGAAAAATACACCTACGCATGCATCAAATAAAAAGAAAACACTTTCAGCATTTTCATCCTAAACGGTTAGAAGCTGTGAATGGGAAAGATCGCAATAACGTTAGTTCCTACTGTTGGACTGCCTTTGTCCATTTGGGAAGCGCGCCCTGAAAAGACAATCATGAAGAAAAATATCCCGTGAGGTATTAGCTGCACACTCCATAAGATATGTAGGTTTCTGATTCTAGTTCAGAAAAACTGTTCCTCAGTTGTCAGAAGCTTTCACATTGCAAATTTTCAACACAGCCATACAGTCAGGCTGATTCAAAATTTAAAATCAGAATGTGTGTGCTTTTTTTCCCCCTTTTAGTATGGCCAAAAGTGAAAGTGAATGAAATTTCATTCTGGATTCTCTCCAACGCAACCAACTGCTGGCTTCCACCATGGATCTTACAAGGAGATCTGCATCATCCTTAGACACTTTAAAAATATCAGTTAAAAAAAATAAGAGTGGAATGAAACCCGAAGTGTTTCCCATCCTTCTTACCTTGATGCAGAAACCATATTCAGTGGGGGCGCTGTACTGCTTTTTTTCTTGGGTGATGTAGTAGATGTTGGATTCATTGATGTCGGCGCAATACCGCAGATGCCGGGGGTCCTTGCATGGGGAAGACGAGAAGGGTTGTTATGAGGCTTATTCCACAAGATGAGGTATTATCTCACCCCTACCTTCTGAGTTGCCTGGGTAGTTAAATGCAGGTGTATCCCGTGTGCCTGTGATCACCATAGACTGAGAGTAGAGTTTGGCTTCTGAACAGAAGTCAGAATCCTAATAATCTTGGGGGCTTCTCTTTACTTCACTCCCAAAGCAAAGGGGGCCATTTCTGGCCTTTATAGCTGCTGAAAACAACTGAACTTCCAACTCATAGCTACCACCCTCTATCTTCCTTGGCAGAAGAAAACTACGATAATGAAATCTACCCACACTTCTTATTCGCAGGCTGTTATAGGGATTAAAAGCACACCTGAGTGAGGAAATCAGTGGCTCCCATCCCACCACTATCTTGAGTTCAATAGGTGGCCTTAGGCAGAGCTTTTTCAGCCCAAGCAACTCAAGATCTGGATTTTGGGGAAAGGAATACTGACCTACCTAATAGGGGTATTACAGTGATTACTGAGCTACACGTGCATATAAACTGGAGAAAGCATTAGCCTTCTTACACTGCTCAGGTTCATTAACTTCTCTTTCCAAAATGCTATTTTATATTGTTAATTCCAGGCAGGCAGAAAAAATTGGGGGGAAGTTTGCTTCCAGTAGTCTGCACTTGTCTGACATTTCCACCTTTGGCTTGACAGGTACTAAACAGCTGGCCTTTTGCACTGACTTTTCAGGAACCCTTGTAGACTGGAGCAAAGTATATGCAAGACTGCGGCCGGCAGGAAGATGGAAGAATAAAATGATCCTAACACAAACTTACTTTTGATGTGCCTTTCGTTGAATAATAGAGCCCAGAACGTCGGAGGGTAAAGTAAAATCGTTTCCATACTTTTCGGTCAACTTCCTTCAGGTGCAAGAACCCTTGGATTTCAGGGCAGCTTCCTGAATTTAGCACATTCTTAAAAGGGGAGAGAGAAAGGATAGGAAGAGAAGGCAAACTCTGTTAGCCATTCCATTAGCACCTCCCCAACAGCAACTAGCCCTCTCTGTGTCCTTTGGGGTACTGCTGTGTGGGAGATGCCCTGTGGTCTATGTGTTGGAACTGCAGGGCTACAGCCCTGGGGATAAGACCACCACAGACATCCAGAAGGCTAAGCAGCCAGTTCTGGTTTGAGCGTTGTACATGAAGGCCTTGGTGCATGAATCAGGCAGAAAAAGTGGCCTGGAATAGAGATGCAGAGGCTGGCGTCTACAGAAGATAGATTACATTAGCAATATGGGTCCAGAAGACAACAACAAGATTGCAACCAGAGCAGCCCAGTGTGATGTACTCACACTTGAATGGGATCAGATTGGTGGTCCATGCTTGAGAATGTATGAGTCAGTGTAGCATAGCAGAGAGTTGGGCCTGGACCAGGGAGACCATGACACCTCTTGCTCAACCTGCCCTACCTCACAGGGTTGTTGTGAGGACACAGAAAGAGATAATGCCCCAATATACTACCTCGGACAAAAGGCAGGATACAAATGTGAGAAGGTGAGCAGGCGTTGCCTTGCTGGATCAGATCCACGCTGCTGATGGCTCAGCCGCCTTGTTTGCAATGTGCCATCTGATGAGCGACATGCCCGCGCATGGTATTCTGTGTGAGCATCTCCTGGCTACCTCTGTGAATTGCACTCACGTCAAATGGTGCTTTGCCCCTTCTGGATGAATGGAAGCCTCGGAAACAAAGCACAAGGCTGACTGAGCAGGGGGTGGGGGGAAGCAAATACCTGTACGAGTTCGGAGTGGGACATGCCCTTGTTGGATGCATCCAGGCAGCTGGAGATCATGACTTCAGGGAACAGCGACTGCTGCATTTGAGGAGAAAGGAAAGGGATGAATCTTGCGAACCGCACCGAGACCATTGTGATGCTAAGCTGTCATGTGTCAAGGCATTTTCACATACAGTGTTTTTAATGCCATATGGGAAAATGCCCTGTGCACAACACTTGGAGCTATAGTTTTATAATTTTTTTAAAAAGTAAGAAAAATAAAAGGAAATGTGGACATATTTTGAGGTCTCACACCAGTGGAGGAAGAACCTGCCAAAATGGGCATGACTTTTGCTTCAAGTTCTTTTTTCTATTTAAAATGTCATCCCACCCTTTCCATAATGCTAATAAATTACTCAGCACCCCATTCTTTACAATACTTAATACTCTAAAATATTTATTCATTTGTTTGTTTGTTTAAAGTTTATATATGCCATCCTATACTAAAGTCTCTGGATGGCTTATGAAAAAACAAAACACAAAAAACCCAACCATATACAACAGACAACACACTGCATCTGACCATTAATGATAAAATCAAAGATAAAACCAATTAACTGTTAAAATAGTGGGAGAATAAAAAATACTAAATATAAAAAATTAAAATACAATAGCAATACAACACAATTCTTAACCCAAGTGGTTAAAGACAAGAGAAACCCATAAATTCTGGGATATAAAATGCCTGTCATTATCTTAACACGTTAACTGATGTGAAATCTGCCATCTCTCTAAGATGGAGAATCAGGACGCTTCCCCATGAAATTAGGCAAAATGACTGGCCTCTCCTTTTAGTTTTATGGTCCATTCCACTTACCGGTGAGTTCTTGAACAGCACATACTTGGCATAGTTCTTCCGGAAGACAAACCTGCTGTCACCACCCACAGGCCATGTGGCCTGAACCTCCACCACGGATTCATGGTCCTCCAGGCTCCGGTCTGGGGAAATGAGAACCAGGAAGCGGAGTTCATAAGGCAGCTCCAGTCTATCCTGCTCTGAGCTACATCTGAGGATGGCTATTAGAGGAGACCTCAGACTGCCAGCTGTCCTGCTTGCAAGGTTCTCAGTCATCTGGGTGGCCGCTTTTAGGCCAAAGTCTCTGAGGTGAGTCAACTCGTGCCTGGCCCACGCCAGTTATGCTTCTAAGTGGTGGTTCACGTGGCTGAGTGTGCCTCAATGCAAAATGAATTATCTGCACACAGGAAATGGGTACTTCAGGGAAAAACATTTAATCCTAGCCTTCTCCCTGGTGCACCCATTCTTTTGGGTGGATCTGGAAAAGACCCAGTTGTGTGAACCTGCAAGGAGTCTGAAGCAGCACAGGCCAGCACAGGTTTGCAACCTACGTGAGATCTAGGGACTTGAAAATTGAAAGCTGGGTTAGATGGAGCTTTGTCAAGTTGACATAGGAAGAAGGCAAATTTTGTATCTACAAGATAGCTCTGGAAATGGCTCCTCGCTATTATCTCAGCAACAGAAATTATGGGAAGGAGAAGCAACATTTCATTTAATTACTCAGTTTGGTATATGCCAGGGTGGTCAAAATGAAGCTCAGGAGCTGCATGCAGCTCTTTATTTTGTGGCCTGCTGCTCGCCAACCACAGCTGCCTGCAGCCACCACCCACGGGCACCTGCTTGCGGCTCTCAAACATCTGACATTTACCAAATGTGGCTCTTCCATTGAGCAAGTCTGTCCACCCCTGGTATATACCTTGCCCTGTCTGATAGGCTCAGAGTGAGTAACAATCTGTTTAGGCTTCCTCTTCCTGGGTTGTTCTGCCTTGCTTAAGTCAGAAGTTTGAGTTAGAGAAACTACAGAATCCTTAGTAACTCTGCGATTATGCTGTTCAACATGACACTATGTACAGTGCATGCGCACGCACACACTCTGTCCCTCCAGAGATGCATCACCTCCTCAGTGTGCTCTTGTCCGATCCCTCTATCCCCACCTCACCTAGAGCCAAGTGCTGGTAGACTTCTACCAGGGACCAGCAATCATCATGCAAGGCATGGGTCTTCTCCACCAGCATCTCACAGACATGGCGAGCCGTGGTTCCTGCCGTGACTTCCAGTGAGCGGCAAGTTCCATCTTCGCTGTAGACCTTCACCACCTGGGGAAGAGGAAGTGAGCACAGAGCTGGAGAGGAGCTCAGGTGCCTGCTGAGACGCGTGCCTCGGGTACCTTGCTGCATCAAACCCACATTTCCAACAGTGGCCAGTTGACAGGGCTAGTGGCCATCCTCCATTCACTGAATCCCCTGTTAAAACAGTCTAAGCTACTGGCCACCATTGTATCTTGCAGCAGCACATGCGGTTTATTTGTAAAGTTCAGAACCCTAAAGACAGGCCCTGTACCCCACAAAAGAGGCCACTTTTTCCTGATCATCACGATTTCAACAGTCAGCTAAAGATGCTCTCCTGGTGGTGCCTTCCACATGGCAACATCATACAAAGGCTTGCCTTGGTCCTGAATGCATTGCTAGCGTTGTTTGTTTTCACAGCTCAAAACCCTAAGGATGGGGCCTGTCCCTCACCGTTAAGGATCACCTTCTCTTCTGACCCACATGATCTCAACAGTCAGCCTCTTGGTGGCACCTTCCATGTGACAACTCACAGGAAGGCCTGGTGGGGGCAACAAATCTGGTCAGCATCTGAGACAGTGCACCCTGTAACCGCTTTCTGTATCCTGGTGCCCTTCACATGTGGCCATGATCAGTTGGGTTGATGGGAGTTGTAGTACAGAGGGCAGCAGGTTGTAGGGCTTGCCCCAGAACTTCGCAATGCCCAGAGGTTCTGTGCCAGGTGCTCAGCTGGGGTAGGGTGCGTGTCTGCAGCAGATTAAAGCTGGAAATGGTGGCAATAACAATACTGGTATCTCCTGTTCGGCCCTACACAGGCTCCTTAGAATGGCAAAATACAACTACCCAGGCATTTCACACGTGCACCAGTTGACCACTAAGGCCTGGGTACACGTGCAGCAGGATGAGGCCACAGAAAACAGGCCTTTGGCACCTGCTAGTGGGACACGCATGATGGCAGAGTCCATTTTGGAGAGAACGTGCCTCTGCATACAAGAGGCTGCTGCGGAAACAAGGAAGGAAGGCGGCTGCTGCTGCTGCTGCTGCTTTTAAGGTTTGTGAAGCATCTGGTTGGCTGCTTCCAGAAACAGGATGGATTGATGAATTGATTGCATCTGCATCCTGCCTTTTGTCCTACAAGGAATGCAATGCGCCTCCCCGTTCTGCACTCAGAACAACAGCCTTGTGAGGTAGGCTAGGCTGAGTGTCTGCAACTGGCCCAAAGTCACCCGGTGAGTTTCCTGGCTGAGGGAGGATCTGCACTTGAATCACCCAAATCCTGGTCCAGCACCCTCACCCCGTGCCATGATGGTGAGTAAGATGGACACTTGGTCGGATGATCCAGCAGTTGTCTCATGTTCTTAGGTGGAAGATCTCTGCTTTCGAGGGATGGAGGGAAGTGGCTTGTGGGCTTTTAAAACATGCAGATAACTAAACCCTAAGCCAGCTCATTATATCACTGCATATACCACTCTGAGGGATGGTGAGAGCAAATGGGCACACTTAGGGTAAACTGTGGGAAAGCGATTAGTCTTTAAAACTGAATGCTTTTCCCACTCCCTGACCAGCACCAGTCACCTGGCTCAAGTCCCGGGAGAGGGATTAGAGTGTCCCACCCTGAAGCAGTAGCAGCACCCCTCCAAAGAGGAAAGGTGGGGGACATTTGCCTGTATTCGGCACATAGACATTTTAATGGTAATCTCAGGCTGGGCTGCCAAGAAATCCAGAAACTGGCCAAGAATACTGAGAGTCTCAAAATGCCAAACAGCCAGATAGGGTTTTCAGAGGCCAAACCTATATTCATCCCCTGATGCCTCCCCTGAAGACTGCAAGATTGGGATTAGTAACCTCTCCCGCTCCAGAATCTAAACCTTTGTGCCTTCCACAATTCATCTGCTAGAAATTAATATTGTTTGGTCGGTTAATATCTTTTAAAGAGAGCCGATGACGGTTATGGATTTCGGGTTGTGAGTTTTCTGGCCCCCATCTCTTGCAACAGGCTGCATTCAGAAAATGAATGAAGGGCTGCTGGGGTGTGCTCCCAGATAAGATATGGGAAAGGGTGTCTAATACTCAGAGTATGTGTGCATTTGTCCATCTCGGGGAGCAGAGGTGGAGTTTAGTGATAACAAGAGGGAAACAAAGAAATATGCATTGGCAGAGCATGTAACTGCTACAAACTAACCAGGCACAGCCCCTCAATCTACAATATGGGGACAATTATCTTGGCCTAACTTACAAGGTTATAAGGATTGCAGATAGGGGGTATGAAACACTTTGAACACTCAAAATCTTCTGCTGCTATATTATAATATTTTGTGCAAATGATATCTGAAAACTTATTTATTGAGTTTTTCAGAATCAAACATTAGCCCCCGCTTTTCTCCCCTTATTTATTTTATATTTTTATTTATTTTTAAAACTTATATTCAGCTCTTTAATGGCCAATTTCGTTCCCTTTCCCTTGTTGTTTAAACCTTTTAATACAATTTAATTATTTTCCATAATCATTGAGCATATTTTGCAGCGTTCCCAATGTGCTTTAAGCACTAGCTGGGAGGGAGCATGCGAGAACCTTTTCTAGTGCTGATGTTGCCTCCATCGTTATAACCACCATCATTAATGTTAGTATCTAGAAGATCTACCCCATCTGGTGAAAAGTCGCTCGGACCCAAACCCCTGAAAGTTTCTCTCCACAGCTACAGCAAAAAAAAAAGGTGTGTGGAGGGGGGGTCATATGTAATAACAGTGCTGCAGACATTCATAGTAGGTGGTTCAACATGTAAGCACCCTTTACCCAAACAACTGGCAGCTGCAGAAAATAATTTTTGTCATACTGTAAGCAAGATTATATCATAACGGCCATTAAAATTAAGGTTGGGGCTTTCACCAAGGTTTCTGTTTAGCATATTAGCTAAATAACTCTCTTTGATCTCACTGGAACCTATGAGCTTGTACAAACGGGTATTGATGACTGGTAGCTGCTAGATAACCACATCCAGCTTTGGGTTAGGAAGCAGCAGCCTTAGAAGATTTCGTGCTTTCAGGAAGGTAGTGCTGCATCAAAGGCAAACAAATTAAAAAAAACAACAACTCATTTTTAGAGCTGCTCAATGGCACATTTATGCACCTGTGCCTTTAGCAGCACCTTGATTAGCAGAAATCCACAGGTGAAGAGTTTCACTGCATGGAAGTAAGACAATCCTCACCTGCTAATGTCTGCAGATTGAGCTTATGCTCAATGTAGAGCTATGGGGCTAGCTGGAGAGATGCATGCTTCAATATGGGGAAGAGCATCAGAGAGGGAGAAGGGTTCAGTTCCACTCTCTGAGGAGCACCTTTTCCTTTAAAAAGGACAGCCCACTTTACACGTCAACAGGGCAGACCCATGCACAAGCAAACATGGCTGTCCCTCATGTCTACTTTAGCTCTCTATGTTCGGGAATAAAGATCTAAGCAGTGAGAAAAACACACTTTATGGACAATAGAGAAATGTCTGTTTTGAATGTATGCTCCTGAAAGATTACATTTGGCCTGCAGCTTCTCGTTGGACACAGATCGTCCAAACAATGTTATCCTACAAATCAGCCTACTGCAGTGCACTGGATATTTCAAAAGGGTGCATTTAAATGTGACCTGGAAACTTTGGTTGGTTCAGAATTCTGCTCTGAAGATCTTGATGGAAACTGTCACAAGGGAACATGTCAGCCTGTTCTTCAAGAACTGCACTGGCCACTGGGCCATTTCTGAACATAATTTAATGTGCTGGACTGAACTTTAAAACCCTAGATGGTTTGGGACCCAGGTGTCTTAAGCATTACCCCCTCCCATATGTGCCTATGAGTACTGGGGTCATTGTCTGAGGATTTCTCTTGGGTGCCTCTGCTTTCTGAGGTGAAGTAGGTGGCTACTAAGGAAAGGGCCTTTTCAGTGGTAGCACCCTGCTTGTGGAACCCTCCCCAGAAAGGAATATTTAGGGATAATCTTCTATCCTTTCAGCCACAAAACTTTATTATTTCCTCAGGCCTTGTACACGGTAATCATATGTGCATCTATTCAGAAGTAATTCCCATTGGTGCTTGCTCATAGGTAAATGCTATCTTAATCTTTTCTTTGCTCTTACAAATATTTTTTTTCATTTCAGTTTACTGTTTCAGTGTGATCTGATGTGTTTATTATATTGTTGTTTCCTGTGAGCTGCTAAGAGCTACTATTGATTTGAATAATAAAATGCATACATAAACATGAATAAAATTAAAATTCAAGATAAACCACCAGATAACAAGGAAGTAGCTTGCTCATATGTTTTGCACTTAATCCTCCTATCAGCAATTTTGTGTACCAAACACCAGATGAGCATCTTTGCATTCTTCTACCATATACTGAAAAGTGTGGGTTAAAAATCATCTGTTTCAACTTTGATAGGAAACCATGTGAGACATCAAGTGGAGTGAAACCCTTCCAAGGCAGCTGAACACCTCCTGACCCATGATTACAGGCTCCCAGCAGAGGCATGCTGGCTAGCCAAACAAAACCTGGCAGCCCTGACAACAGTCCCCATGGGGACAGGCCTTGTCCTGTCAAGCCCGGTGAGCTGCGAGTCTTAAACTGTAATTCTCACCATGGACAGATGGTTCTTCTGTCTGTAGCCTGCAAGAGGGAGGAGCAATAGGTAGCACTACAGCATCATGTACCTGGGTGCAATGGATATAAAACTCCTTGTCTTAGGCTTCAAGATATTGAAGCCGAAGGAGAGGATACTACCATCCTAAGGAAACCTCTCTCTGCCCCCAGCACAGCACCATCTTCTCTGCAGAATGGGAAGAAGAGATTGTGTCCCCTCTACTGCAGCTCCTTCCTCCTGCTCCATAAAAAATGGAGTGAGGAAAAGGAGCTGGAACTGGGAGGATCATGGCAGGGGAAAACTGCTGTACCTCTTGAAGGTGTCTCAGCACTGGCTCTTGTGTTGACCTAGCCCTGCCCTAATGATCTGTAATGGGAGCCCATGACTGAGTTCAAAAAACATGACAGTCCACATTCCAACAGCAGCCCATGTTTCAATGACAACCCACACCTAACCCTTGAGTGGATGCTATTGTGTTGTCTTGATTTCAGTCTGTGGTTGGGTTCACATGCTGTACAGTAAGCCACAGGAGGTTCTAAGCCAGGTTTCTCTCAGAATGGCTTCTTGTGGTGTCTGAACCCAGCCGAGATAACAAACCATGGTGTACAACCCACAGTCCACAACCCAACAACAAACCATGGTTCCTCTTCATGGGTTGTTCATGGCTAACAATCCAAGACATGTTAGCCCAGCTGGATTCAGAAAACACAATGATCGTCATTTTATCAACATTTCAACACAACCTATGCATATAAGTTATCATGTTGTCTGATCTCAACCAATGGCATTAAGCAATACTGGACAGTCAACCGCCATTAAATCTTATTGAGCAGGGTCAATGAAGCAAGTCTCACTTTGCTGGGTTTTGCCTCTCAAAGCAATCTGTTTCCCCCTTTTTATTGTGCACCACTCCAGAATCGGTTAGATGTCTTGCAAATAAATAAATAACCTTTGTGTTTAGCCTGTATGCTAAAGGGAATCATGGAGGGGAGGCATGTGTGGAAGAGAGGGCTCTCTACACTGCCTCTAATGGGCAAGCCTTTCTACCATTCCTCTCCAGTGTTTACACTCCGGCTGAGGAGTCAGAAAGACCCTCTGCCCATGCTCAGAGGCCCTCCCTGTGATTCATGTACTCCGCCTTGATCCCAATGCTGCGAAGAATTACACCCAGAATTTAGTGCCATGAAGACACCATGTCAAATTGATCCCTGGCCCAGTCTCCCTCCAGCCCCAACGCAAATTGACACACTTACATGAGAGCCACCTTCTCGCTGTGAGCCTGGACCCAGTGAACTGCTGCTGAGGATGGGTGAGTTGGAGGGGCTGCAGAGCTCTGGGAAAGGATTTGGGATAGATGGCAAAGATAAGGCACGTGGCTCTCCCACCACCATTTTTCTAAAGGAAAAAAAAAGAACATTGGACGGATTAGCGTAAAGACTTTGGGTTCTCTATCATTGGAAATAGTGTTTCTGGATTAGCAAGTAAAGCTGATCAACCAAGTGAGAAAATAGGTAACCTTTATCTAGAGTAGTGTTCCAGGCTGTGGGGCTTTTAAATGTTTTAAAATATATTCTTTCTCCCGGTTATCCAAATCTGACAATTTGAATAAAGTATTCAGATTTCAATAAATTCCCATGATTTATTCAGGTTTTGATAGCTATGGGATTATCCCCTGTAGGGAACCAAATCCCTACCCTTAACTACCAAACATCTTATTTAGATAAAACTGTACATTTCGAGAACTAAAACTTGGCCATTAAAAATTGTTTCAGGTTCACCTAGGGAAATGAACTTTAAAACACACCAAAAAATTAGAAGTATCTCTAGATTCTGAGATTTCAGCAGGTATCACTCACACACTTTTCAGCTTATCACTATAGTCAGTAGGGACTAGAAACGTCAAAAAATTAGGAAAGCAAGTTTCCTCAAGAAGCTGAATTTTGTAGCCATAATCAGATTTTGTACCTCTTCTGTACTTCCCCAGAGTCACAGCATACACGCAGCCTTATCCGCAGTCAAATACACGGACAGGTATTTATTTCAGCACGTACATTCCAAGCTTTTAGCCCCCTGCATGAGTTCTCTGTTTGCTGGCAATGGGCCTGAGTCACATTCAACAGTCACTGGACCCAATAATCCCCGTTGCACCATATTTGGCCATTGTGCTGGCCCCCAGGGCAGGTGAGAAAGCTAATAATTAATCCCCAAACCCTTCACCTTTTCCCTCCCAATGTATTTACATGCAGCAGGTGGCCTCAAAGCTGTCTGGCACATCTCGGCATAAGAGTGATGGGGCACAAAGTCTACCATGTGAACAGCGCTACGGAGGAGCTGTGACTGAGGCAAGGCTTTGAGGTTTATCTTCGACAGGAAGGAGCTGGGAGTAGCTCCTCTTTGGCTCCATGGGATCTTGCATTGACGTGCTGGTAGATTCAGTTCTTCGCTGCAGCAATGAAATGTCACCAGGTACCTTCAAGCCAGGAGCAGGTGGGTCTCTGACCTTTTTGAGCTCATGGGCCCATTTGACTCTTGGAAATACTCTTCTGGGCTCCACCAAAAGTTGCTGCAATGGGAGATGTGGCAAGGCAGAGGTGGGGGCTGAGCTTCAACAGTCTAAACTACTTATTCGAACCCACAGGGAAACCCAGTTCCCCAAAATCAAACTCTTTTCCCCTCTCTTCCTCAGCTGAATCAATTGCATATCTTTGTATATCTCACCCTGGGTCACCACACAGACACCCCCATACCTACTAACAGGCAAGGGCCTCACATGCACGCTTCAAACACACCCCCACACACTTGCCCTTTCTTCTTTCCCTCCAAAATCCTCTCCCTAGGTAATCTCTAACACAGACAGGCAGACGGCTCCTCTAACCCCCCTCCCACTCCCCAGCCTCTGGCTTTCCATTTTCTCCTCAAATCCCTTCCTGCAAGCTTCACTAACTATTTGCAAATTTCCCTTTTACTACCTTCCTTTTTTTCCTTGGTGGCTGGGCACACAAAAACGGAATGTGTCGGTTTGCAGCCCCCAGCCTTCTTCATTTCCCACCAAAGGAAATTAACCCAAATCTTCACCCAGTGACTCTGAGTTCTGCTTGAACCTAGGTCTGGGGCCTATTTTCATCGTATTAAACTGATGGCTGGCTGCTCATTCAAGCACTGCTATCCTATGACAGAGAGTGATTCCCTGCTCCATGGTGACCTCACAGATGACTCAGCAATGTCACTGTGAGTAGAAATGGGGCTCCACTTCCCACATTATGCAGCTGAAGCACAGAAGGCAGCTTGCAAGTCACCCTGGTGTAAACCACCCCTCAAACCATGGTGAGTTTCTATCAAGGGAAGGGTGAGGTCTCCAGGCTCCCGTCCCTCCGTCTTCCAGACACAGGTCCTGTGGTTCCTCAGTAATAAAGCAAACGCACTGAACACAGCCCCAGCACACTCTTGCTCCAGGGCTGAGCACTGGCTCAAATTAAGCCAGGTGTTCTGCACGTGTTCCAAGATATACTGTTTTGCCTAGCCCTGGCACAGGGAACAGGTTCCAGGCTCCAATGAAGTGATACTTGCTCTCATTTCCAGCACAGACAATCTCTGGAGGTGATGGTTGGAGCTTCCCACAATGTTTCCTTCCATCCCCACATACCTATTGGCTTGGATGAACAGGGGCTGAGAGCGCTTGACAACGTCACCCTGGGTCAGAATCTTGCCCTGTTCACCATTGCTGAGAGGGACACCGTTAGAAAGCATCCTCGTGTGATCGGAGGCCAGGTCGTCCTCATAAGCATTATCCAAGGTGCTGTTGATGTTGTTCTGGAGAGTTCCCAGGTCCATGTCATTATCTGCAATACAGAAGAGAAGAGTGACTCGGCTGATTTTCCCTTTATCTCCCTTGCTCAACCTGTTCGATGAAACTATGGAGAGAGGCTGCAAAATGAGAACCTTCCTCTCTGCATAATGTTCAGGCCTGTCAAGATACCCCAAGGCTTCTGCATGTCATTTTATCAACACCTTCCCTTCCTTGAGTTGCTCTCACTTTCAGCTGCCTCGCTTAGCCTTAGTGGCATGTCATAGTCATTGTAGTTTGGTGTTATCTGCTGACTGGATGCATTCAAGCCAGAGCACTGGCCCTTGAAATTCCCTGCAGCTTTGCTTCGGGGTGCTGCTTCGGCAATGCACAGCTTTGCTATGGGTTATACAGGTATGGTTACACTTTGGAGTCTTGAATCAATAGCTGTCTTTCTTGGGAGCTCTTGGAGGCTTGCAGAGCTGAAACGTGAACCAGCTTTTTCATACCTGCTACTCTGGAATGTGTTCCCTGCTATTGAGTAACTCCAGCGGAAGGTCAGTACCTGTCAAGTCTGACTTAGCATCCCAGCTGGAATAAGATGGTGCTTCTGTAGGTCCCTCAGGATGTCTCCGTGCACACGTGCCACCTGTCAAGCGGTACACTGCCCGTCCTACTCACAACACCCTTGAATGGCGATCTGGTAATAGGCTGCTTGAAACGACACATTGCCATCTCTCCTCATGAATACATTTATCCAAGGAGGCCACCTCAGAAAGCAGGCAGTTCAGCTACAGCGGCTTCCAGGTGCTGGGCAGCGGGCGCTTCCTCTTCTCGCTGCAACAGTGGCCCATCACCTTCACGGCCATTGCTGCTGCCCACCCAGAGCGCTGCTGGGCAGGAGAACGAGCAGGCAGAATTTGGGAAGCAGCAGCTGTAGCCACCCACTCTGCATCTGCCCTGTCTTTCCGAGCAGCAGCGAGGAGTGGCTGGCAGATCTATCCTTCTCCCACTCCCAAAAGAAGCTGGCAGCAAGGACTGTGTAGCACCAACACCACTGACCGATGGGGGTGTGAACCAGTGGTGCGGGCTGCCATCAGCAAGAGCCTCCACTCAGGCACTGGGGACACAGGTGGTGCCCACCTGGGGCCAATCCCTGCTGTGTTGATACCTGCTGCTGCTGGAGTAAATTTACTCCAGTGAAAGTGGGAAAGCATCACTTCCCATTAGGTGCAACCACACTGCAAGCTACAAAGAGGCATACGCTACAGAAAAAGGGGAAAGACTTATTCCCTGCCCACTGGTACAGTGTCCAACATTCCACTCATTAAAAAGAAAATAAATTTGGATGCTAAAATTAAAAAAAAACAATTAAATGAGTAAGGATGAAATCCTAGGCATGTTTAGTCAGGGGGGAAAAGTCCTACAACTCCCAAAGAATTGCTAGATGTTTTGTAGCTTAAATATGCACAGGACTGCACCCTAAATAAAATTCATCAGAAAACAGCAGAATGAATTAAACATTTATTTATGCTTGCGTAACACCACACATTAAATGGTAGTTCTCCTCCCCAAGCAGGGCTTAATGTGCTCCTGAAAAGTATAAAGGTTTAAACTATGGCGCATGTCCAGAGAAAATTACCTTCCCAAGGCTAATCAGTCTTGCAGCAACATAGTAAACGGAGTTATAGGCCAAATTACCACCCAACCATTTCACAAAGATTGCAATTAGTTACAGGTCTGATTGCTTGTGGCAAAGCAAATTTGCCTCCAGGCAACCTTGGAGTCCCCCTGGCCAGAAGGAAGGAGCTTGTTCTCCCTTCTAAAAAGGGAGAAAAAAAGCAGGGTCAGCTTCAGAACACTGTGTTGTCCAGGGCTGGGCTATGCGAAGAACACCCAGTTTATCCCACTGAAACACTGATGGAGGTTAGAACCCCAGATCTTTTGCGTTGCGTAAGACCTGAGAATGGGATGAGACGGCTAAAGGCAAGCCAAGTTAAGAATGAATGCCAAGACCATGCTATGCCTTAGTTCTGAAGGCACTGTCCTCGGACCTCTCCTGTGAGCTGGTCAGCCTTATCTAGCTGGCCACATCACAGAACCACTGGGCCTTTAAGCCTAACAGTGACCCACTGAGAGTTTGGCAGGTGCCCTCATCTGCACAGGCCTCCTCTTTCTCCCTTCCACACCAAGGGGCCGTCCATAGGCTGGAAGAGAAAAATGAGGCTTCCGTCCAGTCTTCATGCACCATGGAGGCTAAGCATGAGGGTCTCAAGGTGCAAAAGGAGAGGCGCCCCTCTTGATGGCAAAGCAGACTGCAAATTCCTCAAAACAGAGGGACCTTTCTTTTTGCCTGTATTTCTCTTGAAAGCACAATGCACCCTGAGGCTGCCAAGTAAATACACAACACATAGAAACATTGAAACAGAGCAAGTCAGAAGGGGCCTCCTGGGCCATCTAGTCTGACCCCCAGCTCCAGCCGGCTCCGCTCACGACATGCTCACCATGTGCATGTCGAACACGATTTGTTGTGCTATGTTATGTTACATGGCTGAGGGGGAGAACAGGAAGGACTCAGGAGGGAGAACGTCACCTTGAAACATAGAACTGTAGTATACAATCGTACAGTTGGAAGGGGCCTAGAAGGCCACTGGATCCAACCTCTTGCTCAGTGCAGGACTGAAGACTCCAATCCATATTCTAACCAGGCCTAATCCCACTTAGCTTCCAAGAGTTGGCAGGATCAGGCACTTCAAACCTAGTTATACCACTATGCTTCAACTCAAGCACCTCTAGAAACCTGTTTGTACCACCTGCACAGTCCATCCAATGGATGCCAGTGTCAAATAAATTAACCCTGTTTCTGAAAGGAAAACAGGTAGTGTAGGGGTCAAAAGTTTAAAGGCAGGACATCCAGATTTAAATGACTGAGCAGCATTTAACCTCTATGATAATCAATGCCCCTTCCAAGAAGTTTTAGCCTTCATTATTAAAATATCATTCTGTTGATATATGAAAAAACAGCGCAGATGATAACATACATTTCCTGAGATGGTGCCTGACAGTTTTTGCTGGTACTTATAAGCTCTGCAGTGGCCTTAATAGTGTCTTCCAATGTTGTTCCTTGTAACCCTCCAAAACCTGGACGATGGGCATCCAACTGAGCTCTTCTCCTGCCCTGCAAAAACATAGATTGCCTGTTGTGGCCATCTGTGCCAGTTGTGGCCATCTCACAAGATGGAGGGACTGAGGCATTGCCAGAATTGCCAGCTGAGGCATTGCCTTTCATCTTGATGGAGCCTCACCCCTCCCCACCTGTCCCCTAGAACCCCTTCCCCAAGCAAGCTCCAAAGCTGTACTTGCACCAACTGATCCAAAGTTAGCATCCCAGTTCTAACTTCTGAACAAATTTCTAAAAAATGCAGCTAGACATTGGATCCACCCTCTGGCCATCCAGACCATTGTGCCTGAAATAATCAATCTAACAGGTTTAGTCTGTAATCTTACACATACTTGGACATGTATGTAATGGGGCTTTTTTTTAACAGTCATGTATAAGTTTGTCCACTTCATGGATTGCTGTCTTTCCGTGGCGAAGGGGCTTATGTAGTGCAATGAAGCTATGAGCTATGCCATGAAGGGACACCCAAGACGGTCAGGTCATAGCACAGAGCTCTGACAAAAGGTGATCCACTGGAAAAGGAAATGGCAACCCACTCCAGTATCCTTGCCATGAAAACCCCATGAACAGTATCATAAAGATAAAAGATATGACACCGTAAGATGAGCCCCTCAGGTAGGAAGGTGTCCAATATGCTACTGGGGAAGGGCAGAGGGCTAGTACTAGTAGTGCCAGAAAGAATGAAGTGACTGGGTCAAAGCCGAAAGGACACTCAGTTGTGGATGTGTCTGGTGGTGAAAGGAAAGTCCGATGATGTAAAGAACATTATTGCATAGGAACCTGGAATGTAAGATCTATGAATCAAGGTAAGCTGGACGTGGTCAAACATGAGATGACAAGACTTAACATCAACATCTTGGGAATCAGCTAACTAAAATGGACAGGAATGAGTAAATTTAATTCAGATGACCATCAGGTATACTACTGCAGGCAAGAATCCCTCAGAAGAAATGGAGTAGCCTTCATAGTCAATAAAAGAGTAGGAAAAGCAGTACCGGGATACAATCTCCAAAATGACAGAATGATCACAGTTCAAATCCAAGGCAAACCATTCAACATCACAGTAAACCAAGTCTATGCTCCAACCACTGGTGCTGAAGAGGCTGAAGGCCTACAACACCTTCTAGAAATAACACCAAAAAATGATGTCCTTATCATCATGGGGGATTGGAATGCTAAAGTAGGAAGCCAAAAGATAACCAGAATAACAGGCAAGTTTAGCCTTGGAGTACAAAATGAAGCAGGGCAAAGGCTGGCAGAATTCCGTCAAGAGAACATCCTGGTCATAGCAAACACTCTTCCAATAACCCAAGAGACTACTCTACACATGGACCTCACCAGATGGTGAACACAGAAATCAGACTGACTATGTGCTCTGCAGCCAAAGATGGAGAAGCTATATCTCATTAAACTTATTTTTCTTTATATGCCCTTTTCTCACTTTGATATCACAAGTTAATGTATCATTAATAGCTATATTCCAAACTTCTCTATACCAATCACACAATTAATAACCATATTTCACTTTCCAGTTCCTAACTATTATTAATCTCTCAGCAGTTATTCAATCTGTTATTCTTTATTTTTCCAACTTCATTGTTTCTTATCAAATTTTGAAAGTAATGTGATCTCAGAGCATATTTCAATATTTAAACTTAGTATTTTACTACTCTCTTTAAAAACCTCTTTCCAGAACTTCATTATGTATTCACATTCCCACCACATATGAAAATATGTACCACTCCACAGCTACATCTCCAACATAAATTGGAATATTTGCTATCTGTACAATTCAGCTTCACCAGGGTTAGGAACCACTTCCATGCAATTTTATAAAAATTTGTCCTTTGTTCTTACCAACATACATTTTAATA